CAACTCGTGGTCTGTGGTTGGGGGGAGGTTTTTTGTGTTTTTTATATCCGAAATTTAATAACAATGCTTTATTGTAGCGCGCTTTTTTTAATTCGACCATACTTCACCACTTTGGTCAGTGTGGGCTGCCGAAGGGCCCAGGGAGGAGGGAGGGGTCGCGTCGCAGCTGGTTGAGATAATACTCGCCACTGAGCATGACGTTGGGAGGGCTTCATCCAGCAGTGGATCGACGGGGTTGTTGAATAATTTTATATTATGTTTGTCTTCATAGCCATAAGCCTATGACCAAGCCATTCTAAGTGCGCCTGATCTCGTCAGATTTTGGAAGCTGAGCAAGGGGTGCGCCTTTGTAGTGCTGGGATGGACGACTGCCATGCACAAACAGGTTGCTATAGGCGGCTGCGGGGGAGTACATTCTGGGCAGCAGAGGGCGGTGTAGAAACATCCATTGTTGCACTGTATTTCTATGCTCCCACCACTTTTCTCCCAGCCTTCACCAACCCGTACTGACCAGCGTGAAGTATGTCCCAAGTAACCCCCACGATCTCCGTGGCGTGGGGTGGCTGTAATGCAACAGTGGATTGTGACGAACTCACGAACATCATGGAAAGAGATGGTGGTGAACAACGGCAACGCTGTTTATTACCCAGCTACAAAGTGAAATAATGTCCACGTTCAAACGAGCAATGGCGTGGTAATTCAGAGTCAGGAGTGGAAACTCCACATTTCCATGGTGGGGATCAGTCTCTAGATATGATCCCCCGCCCCAGACACGACAAAGCCGAAGAGCCCCCGCATAGCCTTAACAGACTCTGGGACAAGTGCTGTTCGCGAGCACCTCATGAAGGCTGGCACAGCACACGAGGGGGTGGGTGGCCAACACCACTACCGGCCGCCTTTGTCTCTCCATTAATGATGTTTACACACTGTACTCATATGAGGCTGAGTCGACCTAGAGGAGGCCAAGGACCGGTTCAGACAATTGTCACAGGTGATGTCCGTGAGCGGGAATCAAACTCGGGTCATAGGGTTCGCAGCACAGTGCGCTAACCATTACCCCCACCACTCCCACACACACACGCACGCACACAGTCAACTCCTGCAAATTATTAGTCCACCGTTTGGCATCGCACCATTATATCTGTGCCTCTTGTTTTCTTTTAATTAGGAACCACTCACTAAAACGGCAATTGGGTATTTGTGTTTAATTCACGGGTTAGGGCTTTCGCTGTGCTTTTTTTTTTTAATGGTCGCTAGCGTGTGCTGCCCGTGCCCAATTACGCCCTCAAGTCCACGCGAGATCTCTCCTCGCAGACGTCCATCGCCACCGCCCCGCAAAGTCACGGTGCCCAGGCCCCGCTCCGCTCCGCTCCGCTCGCTCGCTCGGATGGCCCTCCGGAATTTTACGTCTCAATGTGTCATTCCTAATTGTTGGGTGCCCGGCCTCGTGACCTCCCGAGTGCCAGGAACCTTTTCACCCCTCCGTGGTTTATTCCGAAGTGCCGCCCCTTTCGGCGAGGGTTTGGATTAACTCGGCTCTTATTCCGCTGTGACCCTCCCCCCCCCCCCCTCCCTCCCGGTTGCTCGCGGAGGTCGGTTCATAATGGCCGAGTCGGACCACTGAGCCGAAACCTCTGGAGATGTTTGGGGCCAGCTGCTGTGGTGTAGTGGTTGCCACGCTGGACTTGCAACCCAGAGGCCACCGGTCGCGTGTGATGGGATAAAGTTTGGGTACTCCCACCTCTTCCGAGATGTTTGGCCAGCTTGGTAGAGGAGAATAAGTCCGCACCTCCGATTAGCACGGTTGGTTACGTACGGCGCAAAATAAATTAAAAATGCATACAAATACACTTTCGGTGGAGTGTTTGAATTCCCAGAGAGACCAAACACCCCACTCCCTCACTTTATGCGGTTGTAGATGCGTTTTCAAAAAAAGGGATCGCAAATCGTAACCGCACGAGACAGCTGCCTGCCGAGTAGCGCACACAGTACACCTACAATGTTGTATTTCTGTATGCATCTGCGTGTGTATCTCTGTCTTTGTATCACTGCGTATGAGACGGCTGCCTGCCTACTGGCGACACAGTGTCAGTCAGTGTTGTCTCATTGACTGACACTGTGCATAGCCACACGCTGGTGAATCCAAACCGCACGGCAAAGCGCATTTTTGTCTAGAAGTCGGTTCGGCGCATTTCCAGCGCGATATCGCACAAGCCGAACCCGCACAGAGCGAGGGGAACCTGCAAAGTCACCCCTCTTGTCTCTCTGTGCGATAGAAAATGTTGCCACCTTTTGAATGCGTGGCGTTCCCTCCCCGTCTTTTCACTCCGTCCCGAATTAATTTTCTCGATTCCATCCCCAGTTTTCGTCCCGTCTTGTTGTGTGCACGCACGCGCGCCGTTGTGCCACCCGTCGTTATCGGTGAGGGCACTCCGTCTTCACAGTGGGGCCCCGTTCAAGCACGACGTTGTGGAATGTCGAGGGCAATAAAAAAAGTAGATCAGCTCACATCACTCCCTCCCCGATGTCAACGTTAAATTGTCGGTGAGCGTGAGCTCAGTGGGAGGTTGCTCATTCTCCTCTGCTGCCTCCATTGTCTAGAACCCAGTGCTGTCATCTCCCTGACCCTGTTCAAGTCCAGACTCAAGACCTTCCTCTTTTCCTCTGCCTATGACCGACTGCCCCTCTGTCTTTATAAACTAAACATGCCCACTGTGTCGGTACAGCATCTAGAGACAGATGGTTGAGTGATCAACTATCTGAAGGCTGCCTCGCAGCCCATCAGATTAGAAAACTCCTTCAAATGAGCGAACTTTAAAACCACACCTTCTGATTAGCAGGGTTGACTACGGTACTGCAAAAGAAGTTTAACATACATGCAGCATAGATGCAGTTGCATTCAGATGCTATGTAAATCAAAATTGCGTTGTATAGTCTCACACAGAGACCGGCGTAGACTGAGTCGCGATTAACCCGAGTTCACTAGTGGAGCGGGTTGATGGTCTCAGCCTGTTCACCAATGGCTTGCATAGAAACCCAAAGACTCCTACAGAGACCCGTAGACTCGCATAGGGACTTGACAGTTTAACAGTCTCGGCTCAATCTTATTCACGCCCGCCTGCCTTACTTGCCTTAGTCCATCCTCGGAGGTGCACGTGAAGCTAGCAGCGGTGAGATGTATTTATTTAAATCGATACGGGACCCCGCATTGCCTACGCGACCTCGGCTATTGAGATTAAATCTCAAGCGTTTTTGTCGGCAGCCCAATTTCCAGTTGATTGGAATATGTGCCCTTACATGTAATGTTTTTTTTTTGTTTAGAGTTAACCCATTAACTATTGAACCGGCCTTTCACACGATCTTATCGTCACGCACACGCGCGCACGCACACAGTCAAAGATATCCTGTGTAGCCCGGAGGGACTGCTGCGGCGGCGAGCGATCATTAGTGAGCACCCATTAAGGCTGGCGCGGCATCCAGAGGGATTTTCTGGAGCAGCACCACTCTTGGCCACCTTTGTCTCTCCAGTGCTCATGCGCCGCACCAGGTACTCATTCAGGGTAGTCACCGGTCCTGTTCAAATCCCTTCCAGGGGTCAACTCAGCCCATTATTATCTTCCTTTCATGGTTGATAAGATGAGTATCGCTTTGTGGGAAGTCAACAATGATTGTCCTATGCAGGGACAGGTTCCTGCCATGGGAATGTAGAATTTCTACGACTGGCTCACAAGATGCCTACACAGGCGAATGCTGCCCAGCTTTCCTTTGACATTGGAGGCACTTTGACACTTCGAGCTGACCATATCATACTACCGCGGTAGGAAACTCGTAAAAATGTTTTTCCCGATCACGTCCAAGAGGTCGCGACAGCAAAATGACGTTGACACCACCAGAGCTCTCCATCGCTTCCTTCTCTCTGCCAGATTCCACAGCTTTTTTCGCAGACAAAAACCTGACCTCCAAGGTTCGCCCTCTCACAGTGCCATCACCACAAGCGCCCGGCTTCACGTCTTCCCTTTGGTAGCCGACCCCTGGGTGCCACTCCCACTGCCCATCTCCGTGACCTGCCCTCCTCACCCACTGAACACGTCCCTGCCACAACGATCACAACATCCTCTTGCCGAATCCATCCGCAACACTCTCCTACCACATTCTGTTCCCGATCACCAAGTTGCTTACTCTGCCCTCCTCCATCCAGCACACATGCCCCACCGATAACAATCCCCTGTTGCCGATTCCATACGCAAAACTTTCCTACCACGTCTTATTCCCAACCACCGAGTTGCTTACTCTGCCCTGTTCCATCCTGTGCACGTGGACCCCACCCATCACAACCTCCTCTTGCTTATAACATCAACGTTGTTTGGTGCGGTGACCTCTTGACCGCACCTCTGACGAAGATGGTTGGCTATGTACGGTGCGAAAGACGTTCAATATACATACATACATCCTGCACACTTGTCCCAGCCATTGTAACCTCTTTTCCCCGGTTACATCTCTAGCACCAATTCTGCCACGTTCTATTCAGAACCTCCAAGTTGCTTACCCTATCCTGCCATGGAACTCCTAGTGCTCTGCGAATGCTCCTGCATTCAAAAGCCAGAAGCTTATTTCTGGTTCCTGTGCTAAAGTCCTGCCTATGGGACGCATGCAGCCAATGAAATTGTATTTGTAATACAGCCGCTCGATGGATTGTTCCATTGCAGTAAATGAGTACCTGGTGGAGTGTGTGAACATTGTCACTAGGGAGACAAAGGCGGCCAGGCGTGGTGCTGGCCACCCACCCCCTTGTGCACCGTGTCTGCCTTCACATTTGCTCTCTAACAAGCACTTGCCCCAACAGTCTGTTAAGGCTACACGGGGGATCTTTGTCCTCGCTACATTGCAGTACCGACATATATGGAGATGACTTTGGGAGGCCTTCATCTAACAGTGCAATGATCATGCCTGGTGACGATAATGGTGAACCGTAAAATCATATCGTGACTTCTTTTCCGCAGAAAGGGTACGGTGTCGTGGTCCTGAACACCAACGACAACCGCATTGACGGAGAGAGGCTGGAGAGGGAGAGAAAGAGGATGGAGGCTGCCAAGAAGGTGTGGGCTGTGTGACCTGGAGCCAATGGGCGTTGCTCGCGAACCTGGAAACCTCACGGCGTCTCGCCCGCACGCCGCTCCCGCTCGCTCGCTACGGCAGAGAGACGCCCCAGAGTTTAACTTCATTATCATTACCGCAACTTACAACAAATGAACACCCCTGGGCTATCTGCCCATGGATAGTGATGATGATGATGATGACGACGACTTACAGCCACCACCGTCAATACCAATTCCACTACTACCGCATCCACCATCACTATTTGCTACCAAGACAAAGTTTCCCCGTATAGCCTGAATAGACTAATGGAGCAAGTTCTGATGGTGAGCATCTATGATGGCCAGCACAGCACATAAGGAGTTTGTGTGTCCAGCAACCACGCCCGGCCGCTTTTGTCTCCCCAGTGGCAATGTTTACACATCGCACCAAGTACTCATCTGAGGCTGAGTCGATCTCGGGGAGGCCCTGGAATAGGTTAAGATCTTCGCCACTTTTATTGGTCACGAGTGCGAATTGAACTCGGGTCGCCGGGTTCGTATTGCAGCGCGCTAACCACTGCACTACGTCGCCCCACTACAACAATCTCACCCACACATACCACCAACATATCCTCGTGCACCACAAGTGCATATAAAACCATCATCAGCACAACTACCACCACCACCACCACTGTCAACTACCACCATTACCATTGTAGTGATGGACTTGTTCTAAACGAAGGCTTTATTATTTACTGATGGCCTCAAAATGCACAAAAATCCTGAACACCTTTTGTAATTGCCCAAATTATCTTTGAATCTACCGCCCCCTTCAAATTAAACAGGGGATCGTAGTGGGCAAATGTGTAGCACACGATGAAACCTGTCGCTACAAATCGCCGAGCAGATCCAGTCATAGTGGAGTCTGTCTCTGCCGCAAGCAACCCAGGTGCGCAACTGCTCGCAACTGGTTGCAGAGATGTCCACATATCAGCGACTGAGTTGCATGCAACTGAGTTTCGCAACTGATCACTCGGGTGTGAAATTACACAATCTCTTCCTGATTCCCCGCACTGATCCTGTCGTTCCGTCTTCCACGATGCCAGGATCCGCAGGCCGAAACCACGGAGAGCGAGGCTGTGAGCGACTTGGAGAACCTGGAGAAGGACAAGCATGAGAGCGATGTGGAATCGGGGACTGGGAGACAGATATTGCATCGGAAATATCACTACGTCAGGGTGAGACGCAAAGACATTTGCCCTGGCCGGATCACAAAATTATCGCGTCATCGTCATCGTGATTATTATTTTCATCACGTTCAGTGGCACTGTTATCTTTGTCATCATCGTGGTGATTATGGGGATGTTAACGACCTCGCTAAGTATGCAGGAGGTTATGGTTTTGCCTGGAATTTTCCCAAGGTCCTCCGGTTTTTTCTCTCCAGATTTAGAAACGTGCGCTTAGATTATTTGGCTGCTATGAATTTACACATGATAAGCCACTTTGTAGAGCTATCATTTGTGCCCAGGTCACTTTTGAAAAAGAGCTATGCAGCTCAGTGGGCCTTGCTTGGTAAAATAAAAAATATAGTTTATAGTTATAGATTATCATTGTCACTTGTGGTTACGATATATTAAATAACTTATCCCCTCTCTCATAATTATCATTGTCACCAGCACCATTGTGATTTGTATAAAAGCATTATCATCATCACTGTACAATCTTATTTGTATTGGTAATCACGTGTGTTCCTATGAACGTAACAAACACAAATTGAAATGTTATGAAAATAAATATTTCCAGCGCGCTTCCAAGTCCTCACTCTCGTTGCGGCAGGCAGATGCCAAAATGGGTTAATCGTTTTCGTGAAAGCTGCCGCGGAAGATATTAAGAGTCGATATAATCAAACGATCTAGATATAAAATGCGGCAGTATTTACCGTGAATGCATCTCATTTGCGGGAGTCTCGTTTATTTGATCTATGTCACCACCCACCCCCTCTTTCACGAGAGTGACAGCTTTCGTGATTTCATGTGTCGTCCGTATAGCCGGGCTCGGCCAGAGAAGGAGAACTCTGTGCGCTTCAGGATTAGGAAAATTCATCGCCACAAAGCGCAATAGAATAATAATAGTGGTGATCATCATTTTGTGTGTCAGAAAAAATAACAAATATACAATAAAAATAATATACATTACTTATATTTACCAGGTAAAGCCCACTGAGCTATGTAGCTCTTTTTCAAAAGCGACCTGGACACAAATGATAGCTCAACGAACTGGCTTGTCAAGTGCAAATTGATAGCAGCCAAATAATCTGAATGCACGTTGATTCTAAATGTGGAGGGGAAAAACCGGAGGACCCGGATAAAAATCCACAGCGACCACGGGGACAGCATGCAAAATACAAATATACAGGCATTGTTAGGGTCAGGATCGGACCCACGACCTCCTGCATACAAAGCGAGGGAGATAACATCTCGCCACCACTGATTGTTGAAGGCCTTCCCACGGTGTGTTAGCCATGGCGGTTATTTGAACATACTTCACCATGCTGATCAGTGCAGGTTGGTGAGGAGGGGCCAGGTATCGAATCAGATATCATGCGTCACTGACGTTAGCCACGGAAGGGGCTCTAACTCGGGTAACCGAGTCCAATAAGTTAAAAGCTTACGTTTGTAGTGCGCTCATTATGGCGGCACCATGCCACACTGCAAAACGTGGTTTTAACTTTAAGCTTAACTTCAATAGAATCCACAATATTGGATTGCTTGGCACGCGACAAACACTCTTAGCAGGGCACGTAAGAGGTTCGTACCGAGCGTGGATTAAAGATGCCAATTTAAAGCCATCTGCCGAGGTCATTCGATGACATAGGGTGATGCACTGCTCACTTGCGAGGCTTGTGAGTGTAAGTTTCTTGGCCCCTTGACATGACGTCCGTTGGACAGCTCAAATGCATTTGGGAGAAGCGTACAAAACAGTTTCACGAAATCGAAATATTTGTGAGCACACGCGGGAAGCTGTTTTGGATTTCTCCTCTCAAAAATTTAAGTGTCTCTCTCTCTCTGCTCAAACGGGGTATTGGGAATGGTCATCCTTGCTGGCAGCCCGTGGTGGAAATTGTACATTCCTATGGTGGTGACCATGTGCGGATAATAATAACAATATCTGGTACATTTCGAGAGCTCAATTGAGTTTCGCAACATTTATTTTTGCGGGAGCAATGGTGAAGTGGTTAGCGCAGTGGACAATGAACTTGGCAACCTGGGTGTGATTCTCGACCATGGCTGACATCAGTGGAGAATATCTGAACAGGGCCCTGGGGCCTTCCCTAGGTCGAACTCACTCTCTCTCTATATTAGTACCTGGTGCGGTGTGTAAACATCAGCACCGGGGAGACAAAGGCGGCCGGGGCGGGCACAATGTTGGCCACAACACCTCCTCGTGTGTCGTGCCGGTCTCAGTAGGTGCTCGTCAACGGCCGCTCGTCCCGACGGTCTGCCGAAGGGAAGGCTACGCGGGAAGAATCTTTGTCTCTGTACGTGCCCCTGCGTGCACGATTTGGATTCAACGCTCTTCTCAGTGCGGCGACGCATTAGAGAAGAAACTCACGTTGCGTCTGATTAATGTGTCTCGTTGCCGCGAATTAACCTGGCATTCGTGCCAATTTGCATATGCAAATCTTGATTTCAATTTGTCGGTTTTTTTGTTTGTTACCAGCTTGCTGGAAATGTAATTATCTGGGCGGTGGGCGGTTAATTATGAAATAAAAAATTAACCATGCTCGCTACCGTAATTGCGCTAATATAGGGTGGGTGGGTGGAATACCAAGCGGGGTTTGCATTTTGGTCTTAGGTCTGTTTTTCACCTGGTTGGCCCTGCCAGTCACCAAATTACATGCCCCGGTACCATCAGCTCTTTGAAGATAAGCAGGTTTGAGCTTGGATGGTACCAGGATGAGCGACCATGCAGGTTGTCGCAGGGGCCGTGGAGTAGGCAATGCTGCGAACTCCATCATTCTATTGTACTTCTATGCTTCACCGTCACCGCTCGGTGATCAGCCAGACATGAAGCTTGGTTAAATAACCCCCGCAACACGCATTGCGTAGGGAGGACATTGTCCAGCGGTGGTCACGTGATATTGGTCCTATTTCTTGTAGTGGAGTGATAATACTCAATATCTCTACAGAATCGTTCTGTCATAGCATTGCAATCATTATGATCACTGTTATCACTGTCATCATCACCACCATTATATTCATCACCACACACATCTTATTCGTCAATATTTTCATTATCACCGTTGTCAACACTGTCATCATCCCTCTCTGATCTGTAAGATTAACCCCCCCCACTCTGCGGTAAAGAATATCAATAGCAGTCTTTATTTCTTTAATTATTTTGTTGGAATACAACTGTCATTATAAGTTATGGTTTATTACTTGCAATAGGAATGTGGAATTTACACCACTGGCTCATGGCTGCCGGAGGAGATGAAATTCCAGCACTCCTCTGAGCAGGGAGATGCATTTGACTCTGATGTTGGCGTTGAGGTGTGTCCACCAGTTGCTCGCGAACAGCACTTCCCCCAACAGTCCGTCAAGGCTATGCGGGGGATCTTTGTCCTTTTCAACCAGGTGCGGCGTTCAATGGGAATGGAAGTTTTCTGTAGACGCGTTCTGTTCCTGTTGTCTCCCCTCCCAGGAAAACGAAAACCCGGAGAAGCACATGAATTACGTGTGGGAGCACTTCGTGGACAAGTCCGTGGCAAAACAAATCTTCATCGTGGCTCACAGCTATGGTGGCGTGGCCGTTGTGAATCTGGTGAGGTTAATTCGATGATTCCTGTCTTCTGCTCGCGTTCGGACGCTTGATCAACTTTTACAAAAAGCTTCTCTTTTCCTGTTAGTGCTTTGCTTCAATGCGTGAGCTCCGCCCGTCCGTTCATCAATCCGTACGTAACCAGGGCGGGCACGATGACCCCCGTGAAGATGGTCCGACCTGAATCAAACTTCAGTGCAGTTTTGTTCATTGCAAGGCCCGCGAGCCACTGGCGGCCCCTGGTGGCCTTCAGTGCATCCCCCCCCCCCCCCCTGACGTGTGGCCCACCGACACAATACACAACGCGTGGAAACACCCCTTGCAGACGGTGTAGCGGCTCTCACACTGACGACGTCTTATCGGCGAAAGTGCCCCCCCCCCCCCCTCTGAAAGTTAGTGAAGAATGCTGATCTAGACGATGGCTGCTGCTACTGATGATCATTGAAAGTCTGGAGATTGTGTCGCTATTGGCGGACCCGCCCGACTGAGCACCAAGCCACTGTGGTCAAAGCGTCATTGTGCAAAACGTTGGGAGGCGACAGACCAGAGCAAAAAGAACTGCAGGACGGAGTTTTTGCAAACGCATTGTTTACCCTGACAGCTCCCCACCACAGGCTTCCATGCTGATAATGAAATACTTACGAGGGCAAAGACGCATGTTTGGAAAGCGTTACATAATCCATGCGCATGCATGATTTAACCTCCCTTGTTTTCCACATTTACATTCGAATTGGCCAATGTGACCAAATGCACCTGGAATGCACCAGGTCTCGGAAGCTAAGCAGAGATAAAGCATTGTTAGTGCCCGGATGGGCCACCGCCGTGCATAACAGGTTGCTATAGGTTGTGGGGCTCCGTTGTGGACAGCAGAGGACAGTGCATGCAAATCCATTGTTGTACCGTATTGCTAGGCTCCCTTCACCATTCTGCACTAATCAGCGTGGTGAAGTATGGTTTGAAGAACAACTACGACCCACAAAGCTCGGGGAGGCTCTCATCCAGCAGTGGATTGAAATGTAGATATTCTCAGGCGGACCTGAATGAAAACGACTTTGTCTGCGATCAAACATTGGTGGAACTATGTAAATACTGGCTCCTGCCAGAGGAACGTTGAATTACTGCTGCTGACCGAGTGTCTCAGGAGCACCGGCAGCGGTGAGCACTGCCGCGTTTCTGGTTTGAGCGTGGAGACACTTTGGCTGTGATTGATGGACGGGGTAGTCGCAACTCTTACACATCACTGCAGAGGGCTGCATTAATGCCATGTGTGTGTGTGTGCGCGCGCGTGTTTGCACATACAGTACACACTGTGTGTGTATTTGTAGGGGTGTCTGGGTATTTATTTGTGTGTGTGCATCGACCCGAGTTCGATTGCAACTCGCGGCCAACACCAGTGACAATTATCAGAACCGGTCTTGGGCTCCCCTAGGTCAACTGAGCCTCAATTAAGTTCCTGGTCCGGTGTGTAAACATCGCCACTGGGGAGCCAAAGGCGGCCGGGCGTGGTGCTGGCCACCCACCGCCTCGTGTGCCGTGCCGGACTTCATAGGTGCTCGCTAACAGCACTTGCCCCTACAGTCTGTTACAGGCTATACGGGGGGATCTTTGTCTTGTATGTGTGCATATACGTACTGTGCGAGTGTCTTTGTTGTGTGTGAATAGGTATGTGTGTAGCGGTAAAGGGTATATAGGGGATCTTTGTCTTGTATGTGTGCATTTACGTACTGTGCGAGTGTCTTTGTTGTGTGTGAATAGGTATGTGTGTAGCGGTAAAGGGTATATAGGGGATCTTTGTCTTTGTGGAGAGGTAGTGTAGTGGTTAGCGCGTTGCGCTTTCAACCCAGTGATCCGAGTTCGGTTCTTAGTCTCGACCACCAACACCGGTGACAATTATCTGAACTGGTCCTGGGTCTCCTCCAGGTCGACTCAGCCACAAATGAGTACCTGGTGCGATGTGTCAACATCGCCACTGGGGAGACAAAGGCGGACAGGCGTGGTGTTGGCCACTCACCCCCTTGTGTGCCGTGTCGGCCTCCATAGGTGCTCGCTAACAGCACTTGCCCCAAAAGTCTTTTAAGATTGGAAGGGGGATTTTGTTCCTGTGGGAACGTGCATCTTTATTTATAGGTCTATGTATGTGTTGGAAGTGGTGACAGTAGTCTGCACAACGCAATACGAACTCAGTGACCTTAGTTCGATTTACCGGCCATGGCTAACATAGTGGCGAGCGATAACCAAACCAGTCCTGGACCTCCCCTAGCTCAACTCAGCCTTAAGTGAGTACCTGCTGCAGTGTGTAACCATCAGCCAAGGGGTACGGTGCTGACTTACATTGACCCGTCTTGCTCCCTGCCGGACCCTAACCATGTGCTCGCTAAACAGCACGGGACCGCAAGCAGCCTGCCGAAGTGCTGACACCTTTGTGTTTGTGCAGTGGGGGTGGTCGGGGGCGCACCTGTGTGTGCGAGCAGAGCTGCGTGTGGCTCCTTCGCCGCTTTGTCGCTCGTCAACGCAACAACGCTTCACTTCCCCCCAACCACTCGGCTCACTCAGCCAGCCCGTATCCACCGCCCACCCGCCCGACCGCGCGTGTGGCCACGTTCCCAAGACCACCCGACCAGCGCCACTCCCTCCTGCGTCATTGCGTACACCTGCGCTCCGCACGTGCGCGCTGCGGTGGTAGACTCGCAAACATCGTCCCTCCTGGGTGGGTAAAGTGAGTGGCGGGGGGGGGGAGGAGGGGGGTGCTGGTGGGGGGGAGTGTAATAATTAATGTCGATTAATTTTCGCCATTCGGGGCCCACGATCCGAATCAGGAGTTCACGTCATTATTTTGGTTCATCTGCACGCGTTGGGGGGAGCAGCGGCGGAAACGAAAGCTTAGCGCACCCGTTTACAAGCCCGGCCGACTTGGGTGCGTTGTCCTGCCACGGCTAACGTCATTGGCGAGCGATACCTGAGCGGGTTCTGGCCCTCTCCTAGGTCGTCTCATCCTTAAATGAGTACCTGGTGCGGTGTGTGTAAATACCAGTACTGGGGAGACAAAGGTGGTGGGGCTCACCACACCACCTACTGGTGCACCATGCCAGCCTTCATTAGTTGCCCACTAACGCCACTTGTGCCAAGAATCTATGCAGGCTATCCAGGAGATCTCATGTAACACATAACACAACACCTGGAGCTGCCCCTTTAGTAGTGGGGAGCGGTGACGCAGTGGCGAGTGAACTGCCCAATGACCACAGCGACCCCGAGCTCAGTTACCAGTCACAGATTGTTAGGAAGCCATTGGAGCTGTGCACTTTTAAGTCTACATTGAAAACGAATTTCTTTAGAACTGCTCATTGTTGTGTGTAGTTTGTTGTCCTTCCCCCGCACCTCCAGTTAGCAGCATTGGCTACGTACGGCGCGAAAGAAGTTCAACGTACATCCAGATAAAAACCGGTGGTAAGTGGAGTCGAAGCCTGTCCTGGGTTTCCCCCAGCAATAAATGAGCCCGTGGTGGCATGTGTAAACATCATCGCTTTGGAGACAATGGCGAACGAGACGTGATGCTGGCCACACCAAACTTTTTGGTGCCGTGCTGGGCTTTAATAGGTGCTTGCAAACAACACTCTCCAAGGCAAGCCCACACAGCTCAGCAGGAGATCTTTGTTCCGTTATCGTGATGAGTGAGCACGCTGCCCTGCCGGTCTATTCGACCGCCGAGGTTCGATTCCTGGTCACGTTGCAACAGCATCACAAGTGGACAGTTGCTATCTGAAAACTACTGGATTTCTGTAAAAAAAAAAAGAGCTTAATAGCTCATCGGATTCCTCCGGTGTGAATAAATATTCTGATTCTGGATTTGGCCATCCTCCAGGTTACTTCTCTATGCTCCGTTAGCACAGGTTGGCCACGTGACACTCATCCAATACATTTACTAACTTTAACTCTTCACAGCCGGGGTGAGGCCACCGAAACTCCCGACACCGGCTTTATCGTGGGTGGCCGCAGCCAGAATTCGAACGCAGCCTCCCAGCAGTGCAGCCATCACCATCTCTTGCCACGGCCATTATGAACCCCCCCTCCACCACCACTGCCACCACCCCCGAGCCACCCCCTCTCACTTGCGTGCACACTTGCACACTTGCTTGGGCACGCGGGGCGGGGGGGGCAGGCGGTGGGGGACAATGAGGGTTGCTGTGACGTACGGCTCGCTGGGTTAGTGACAGCCACGGCATTTTGTGCGATCGTAAGCAAGCGCCCTGAGCTGACAACCGCGGGGAGAATTGATCGGCGAGCGCGAGCGAAATGTCAAATAAATATATGGGGTTGTGTGCGTGCGTGTGTGCGTGTGCGTGCATTGGGTTTGTGTGTGATGTATGTGTGTGATGCGTTTGTGTGCCTATGCGTATGTGATGTGTGTGGAATGTATGTGTGCGTGCGTTGTGTATATGTGTCTCCGTACGTGTGTGATGTGTGTGCGATGCGTGAATACTGTAAATGCACGCTTGCATGTGCTTGCGCGCGCATGTGTGTGCGTGCATGATGTGTATGTGTGCGCGTGTGTGTGCACAAAGTTGTAGGGCACAGTGGTTATTGCACTAAGCTACAAACCCCGCTGACCCGAATTTGATTCCCACGCAAAGCCAACATCGATAACGATTATCTGCAACGGTTTTGGGCTTCCCCTTAAGTCGGCTTAGCCTTAAATGAGTACCTGGTGTGGTGTGCAAGCATCGCCACTGGGGAGACAAAGGCGGCCGAGCTTGATGCTGGCCACCCAGCCCCTCGTGTACCGTGCCGGCCTACATAGGTGCTCGCTAACTCCACTTTGCCCCCCCCATGAGTCTGTGACAGGCTCTATGGAGGGGATCTTTGTATATGTGAACGTGCATCCTGGTCAAACATGCAGTGCTCTAACATCACATCACATTAGGAACTTCCCTACTTGCTCACCCTATCCTGCCATGAAATTCCGAACAATAACATATGCACGGCGGTTAAAACAAACAATAAAACCACCACGCTCTCAAAGAATTGCTGGCATCGCACACGTGAATATCGGATTCACGCTCGGCCTCACTGCGTCGTTAGGAATTGGATGCCAAGTGCTGTGCGGGGTGTGTGAATTGAGTGCTGCTGGTGCTGGGGATGTGTGTGTGTGTGTGATGGGGGTGCTGGGGATGTGTGTGTGTGTGATGGGGGGTGCTGGGGATGTGTGTGTGTGATGGGGGGTGAAGGGGATGTGTGTGTGTGTGTGTGATGAGGGGAGGGGGGATGTGTGTGATGGGGGGGTGCTGGGGATGTGTGTGTGTGTGTGTGATGGAGAGTGGGGGGGGGGGAGTTGTGTGTGTGTCTGATGGGGAGCGGTAGTGTAGCGGTTAGCGCACTGCACTACGAACCTGGCCAGCCGGGTTCGATTCCCGCTTATGGCTATCATCAGTCGACTTGGCCTCAAATGAGTACCTGGTGCAGTGTGTAATTATCGCCACTCGGGAGACAAAGTGCGGCTGGGCATGGTGCTAGTCACCCACTTCCTCGTGTGCTGTTCCGGCCTTCATAAGCGCTCGCTAACAGCACTTGCCTCAGCGGTCTTTGAATGATAGAGGTTGATCTTTGTCTTTGGACAATAGGGGCTTGCTTTTAGTAAGGGCTACTGAGGTCTGCCTAAGACCAAATCACCGGAATGCACCCAACGTCAACCCCAGTGCCTGATGTGTACACATCAGCATGAGGAATGACCAAAGGCTGAGTCGACCTAGAGGATGCCCAGAATGGTTTCAGATTTCATTTGCCACTTCGTGTGTATGGCCGAGGATCAACCTTGCCAGGACCGGGTTCGAACCCTCATCTGATACACACCCGTCATCTCATGCCATACAGAACCCTCATCTTATCTGATACACACCCGTCATCTCATGCCATACAGAACCCTCATCTCAAGCGATACAGATCCCTCACCTCTTGCAATGCAGTGCCCTCATCTCATTTGAGACACTTTAGGGAGGCTTGCGTCGTGCTGGCCGATTAGCTTCTGCATTGCACGTGGCGGAATGGCTGAACGCGACGTGAAAAAAAGCTCTTGACGTGAATGGGCTAGCGGTGGTAGCGGTCGTTTGTGAAGGCGCCATCTCTGGTGTCGGTCTCTCCGTTTCACCTGGGGGGGGGGTGGGGGCAGCGTCGGTAACTTAGTGTGCGTGTCTGTCGTCAAGTTGACGCACCCAGACTCGCGTACGCACGCCGGGCCCAAGCGTCACACTTATCACCACACAGGGTGCCAGCTCTGTTAGCAAGCACCACCTATGAAGGCCCGGCACGGTGCGCGAAGGAGTGGGTGGCCAGCACCACGCCCGACTGCCTTTGTCTCCCCAGTGGCGATGTGTGCTGTGATCCCTGGGACATGAGTTTGTGGATACTCATTTGAGGCTGAGTTGACATAGGGGAGGCCCATGACCGGTTCAAATACCCCCAAGCATGTGCACACTTACAAAGATGAAAGATCCCTTCATTTGGTCGAATAGACTGTCGCAATCGTTCGTGCCGTGTGCTGTGATCCCTGGGACTTGAGTTTGTTTCCTGGCCAGGGATGTCATTATTTGGCGAGTATCTAAACCGGTCCCGTTTACTGCCCACCTTGGCTGACCCATTACTGCCCAGCGTGGTAAAGTATTTGGTGAAGTATTCAGAGTATTTGGCTGCTATACATTTCCATGTGATAATAAATCACTTCATTTGGGCGATCAGTTGTGGCCAGGTCGCTTCTGAAAAAAGCTGTAGAGCTCAGTGGGCCTTATAGTTTTAGTACGTTCCAATAACGGCCGTGACCGGACACGGCTTAGAGCGGCAATCATCCAGCAGCGGATCGACAAAGGGTCTGTGTACGTGGACTGTTTGGGCGAGAGCTATTCACGAGCGCCTATTAATGCCGGCGTACGCAGGGATGGTGTGGCGGGAAAGAAAAAAAAAACGCACTCGTATACTTGAGCCGGCATGGCCACGCGAATGTTATGTACACGCATTCCACGCACACGTATTTTAGTTCGCCAAGATCCGGCAATGCGTTCGCGCAAAACATACAGGCCCGAAAAAAAAAATCTTTCTCAAACGGGGGGAAAAAAAAAATTCTCGTTGAGCGGAAGAACATTGCTGCGGCAAGCCCTGATTAATTACCGCTCGTTACAAAAACACGCTCGGACTTTCTTCACCCGTGCTAAACTAATGAGTTTGGACGGCAAGGCTGTCTAAACAGCGTCTTGATTTACAATGCATGGCTTCTGCTGATGGTCCATTATAGAATCCCATTATACACACACACACACACAGACAACGTGACCCCCACATATACAAGCAAAGATCCCCATTGTATCTCGCTCATCGGGTGAGTCTAATGCTGCTTGTGAGCACCGGTTGGTCCGTCCATCCGCAAGTCTCTCCGTGTTTGCGTCAAGGCGTGTGTAGGTCCTACTAACTGTCCACCCGTCTATCTGTTCGTCCATCTGTGTCGTTTTGTAGGTCAGTCTGCATTAACCAGTCGGTGGTTAATGCAGACTCGGTGCCATGCATGATATAAATATACGTGAAATGTGTTTTCTATTTGGTGTTTGAACATCTTAATACCTGTTTTATTGCCAGAAAGGGTAAAACCTATTCTTATTTTTAATCCACACCGTGCATGTTTACACAAAGCAACTCGCATCTGTGTATGAATCTCCATACGAACGCGAGGCTCCATTAAGGGAACGGCTTAGCAGGTTAGCAATTCATTACTGTACATGGCTGTGTGTACATATGTATGTTGAACTTCTTTCGCACCGTACGTACCCAACCATGCTAATCGGAGGCTGGGCGTCATGGGGCCTTTCGTAAGTTGCATGCAACTCCTCAGGTGGAATGTTCCATTCATTTGCACTTCAAAACAGCTCAAGTTATTTAGGGAAAATCCCTTCACGTGTTTTCAGCAAAATGGCCTCTGGAGTTTTATATCAGCGCAGAAAATAAAAAAAAATGTATCCGATTTATATTTCATTGCATTGGCGCGATAGAGATATATGTGAAATGTGTTTTTATTGGTTGTTTGCACAAATTGCTCGTATTTTTATTTCCGCCCTGTGGCCAAATTGCCCTGAGTGCATCCCATCGCGTTGATATCTGGGAAGCTAAGGAGGCCCGAAACCGGTTAAAATGCCTGCATGGGTGAACACCGGTGCTTGCCACAGCGTGTTGTCGGCACGGGGGCCACGAGGTGCTGTGAGGTGCCCGGAGATGGCAGCTCAGCAATGGGTGCGGTCCATGGATAGACTTGGTCCACGGGATGAATTGTGTCTGCGTATCGAATCCATTCGTGCCCGGAGGTTTGAGTGTCACCCCCCAACCCCCCCCTCGGATTCTCATTAATGGATTGGGCAAACATCCCAGTGTAGTAGCACACTCCTGAAAAAAAAAGTCTTCAGTGAGGCTATCCTAGATAAAGAATTAACTTGTATAACAATTCAATGTTATTTCTCATATGTGCTGAATTGTTTTTGCACAACTTCATTTTCCTTTCGTGCAAAGAAATGTCGTCGTGCTTTGTGTTTGCATTCCAGATAGACCCTCCTTGCATTTTGAGAGACGTGTTGAGCTAAAGGGCTTGTACCTTGTTAAAACATTCAGTTCCCGCGTTGATTTTTTTTTCTAATAACGCCTACGACTCGACCACCCGGGACGCACCCGCTCACTCTTCAGATCTTGCAAGTTAAGCAGGGCTGAGCCTGGATAACGCTTGGATGGGCAACCACCCTACGAACAAACAGGCTAATATAGGCTACTGCGGGGCTACGTGGTAGGCGGCAGAGGGCAGTGCATTAAGCGTACCGTACTTCTATGCTCCCCGCCTTCACTAACTGGCGCTGATCAGCGTGGTGCGGTATGGTCAAATAATCTCCGCGACCTACACGGCGTTGGGTTGTCCTCACCCAGCAGTGCATTGACAGAAGGGCTATACATGACCGATTTAATGTTTGTAATAATAACATCTATGTTGTGTGTGTGTGTGTGGGCAACAGGTCATCAATAATCCCGTTGTGCTGGACAGGTTATCAGCTGTGGCATTCACAGATTCCGTCCACGGGTTTTATGGCGGTAATCGAAGAGTCTTAAACTGGTTTAAAAAGGTGAGAACGACACATAGCATTGAGAACACTTCTACTGCCAGTCCTGTTTACATCACACACACAAACGGACAAAGACAAGGTCACCCATGTAGCCAACATACATTGTTTGGGCAAGTGCTGTCAGCGAGCAGCTATTCAGGATTGCACGGTGCACACAACGGAGGTGCAGTTAAGAGACATCATCTCATTCTCCTATTGATGATCCCGTGAACTTCACCCATTCATGTCTCCTGTCTTGTTGAGGACTCGGTCGACCAGATTGATTTATCGCATACACAATGTTCAACAACCACACTGCAGGTCACAACAACTCACTCACCTTCTCAACCACCACACTGCAGGTCACAACAACTCACTTACCACACTGCAGGTCACTTACACATCCACCCACTCACTCACCCACTCACACACTCACTCATCTCCTCATCCACCACACTGCAGGTCACAACAACTCACTCACTTACCACACTGCAGGTCATTTACACATCCACCCACTCACCCACCCATTCACTCACTCACCACACTGCAGGTCACCTCACTTCTCTCTGTGCTTCTTTCCTAGTACTGCTCCACCATGGAATTCCCTTCTCCCATCGTCTGATTTCTCCAAGCTCTTAAGATATGCACCTCGGTCAAGTCAAGAAACGCGTTGCACTCTTTTATCTGACAGTGCTGTTTGTTGCTGGCCGCTTGGCGGCCTTTCGGGCCTGCACGCCGCAAATGTGTAATTAAATAGTAGGAAACGTGGTGATTGAACCGTCGTGGGGGAGGGCTGGCGTAAGTGGTGGTGGTGGTGGCGGCGGCGGTAGTGGCGGGGGTGGTGGTGGCGTTGGGCGGTAGTGGTGGCAATGCCGGCGGTGATGTTGGTGGTAGCTGCACCTCCTCCGCCACGCTGGCTCCACCATGCCCCCCTCCGCCCCTCATGAAGCTGTGCCACCGCCACGGCTTCTCGCAGTTGTGCCGCTGTGCGGCACTCACCGCGTGCATTCGGGCAGTGCCGCGTGCCGCGTGCCACCGACACTTTGGAGACGCAAGTCACAACCACAACAGCAACAACCGCTGTTTATTTTCCACACAGTGGTTACTCGTTTTCTTGACCCCAAAGACATTGATGATGATAAGTGGACTGAATCGAGCCCCAACCAGAAATTGAACTCATCAGCCTTCTGATTATGGGTCCACCACTCTGACCACATGGCCACCCGGCTAAACTAAAGGTGGCTTCTTTGTCTCTTTGTGTGCGTGTTGTCTCCAGGAACTCGGTTTCCTCCCACATGCAAATTGTCATTAAAAAGGCATTGGTCGGTGTGGCTCAGGGCAGTGAGCCGTCACCACTGAATTCCGGGTTCTAATCCGGGTTTCTGTGCCGCTCTAGAGAGATCTTTGTTTTTACGATGTGTACAATTCCCTGTGAGTACGGATGTGTGTGTGTGTGTTCGGAGCGGTGGCGCAGTGGTTAGCATGCTGCGCTTTGAACACAGAGACATTAAGATTCCTGCTCACGGCCATTATGAGTGGCGATTATCTGAACTGGTCCTGGGCCTTCCCTAGGTAGACTCGGCCTCAAATTAGTTCCTGGTGCGGTGTGTAAACATCGCAACTAGAGAGACAAAGGTGGCCGGACGTGGTGTTGGCCACCCACCCCCTGATGTGCCATGCCGGCCTTCATAGGTGCTCGCTAACAGCACTTGCCCCAACCGTCTGTTAAGGCTATATGGGGGATCTTTATTTTTGTGTGTTTACAGAACTCTGTCAACTGGGTGAGTAGTTCAGAGGAATTGAACACCAGAATTATTGGATATAGAGATGAAGACTGCATGTTGTTGTCTGCTGGTGAGTAATCGACACACACTTCTTTATAATAGATGTTTGGGTTAGGCCGCGTAATAGTCTGGCCATATTTTTTGTCGCCTAATTTTCCCCACCCCTACCCGTTAACGGCACGACAAATTAAGTCGTCACTGGCGTTTAACAACCCGTCAGTCGTGGTTGTTTCAGCTCGGCGGAAAATTAAAGAACAATTCTCACGACAAAATGTAACGGCTTGATACGCGACGTTTTGATACGCGACGTTGGATGCGTTTGATACGCGACGTTTCGCGTGCGGTAAGCGTGACCAACTTCGTTAGTCGCATCATCATGTCATGAAACCAGGAAGTCATACATTTGGCCAAGTGCATTTCCAAGTACACAGACTAAGTACATTGAGCACCAGAATTATTGGATATTTTTAAGTTGCCGTAACGTTCAATACTATTTGTGTTACTGTGCTATGTGCACTGTTGCGCACTCAACAATAACGTTGCAGGTTGTAAATTGGGTTTCATGGAAGTCATGGGGTTTGTTTGAGACAATGGATATACCGGGGTGCACCACGCCGCTGAATTAGCCCGGTGTTATTCGAGGAAACACGGTTCACCTGATCCCAACTGTCCGCTCACATTTTCTTACATCACCACAGGCACCATGCAGCACGAAATGACCTCATATTCTGCATACGAGTCCGTCTTTAAATACTTCGACGATAAATTGGATAACCCCAACTACCAGCCTGGAATGCACGAACGAGATGTCCAGCTGGAGGTGATGGAAGCGTCCATGGCAGACTTTGATGATGATGACGTGATGAGCTTTGACCATGGCGCACCGCACACTGAGAAGGGTGGCGATGAGCCGGGCGTGAGAGACGATGTCGCACGGAAGAGTGCGGAGGAGAACGAACGCGATGAGGAACTGGGGGGGGACACGGAGGCAGAGTGTGCGGCGCCAGTGAGGGAGGACAAGAAGAGGTCCGGGTCACACAAGGATGACAAGGAGGAGGAAGCTGGAACCAAGCTGATGGAAGAGGAGGAGGAGGAGCAGGGGATGAACCGGAGGAGAGATTCGCAACCCACGAAGCCAGAGGTTAAAAGCGAGAGTGATCACGAGGTCGACCGGACGGCGACGGCCGCAGAGGCTGCGACGGGCACAAACGACGACGGGGGGAGCGCCACGATCCCAGACGCAGCCCCAACGCAAGCGGCGGGCGGCGACGAGGACGATCCCATGGAGCTGCAGACTGCGGCGATGGCCGAGAAAAGCGTCGAAGCGGAGGAAACGGGAGGCAGCGACCCCGAGGTAAACGGCACCAAGGGAGGAGAGGCGAAGGCCGTCGACGTGGAGATGCCGGTGCGCGGCTCAACTCCAGCCTCGTCCGCAGAGCACGGGAACGCCGAGAGGGTGGAGCAGGCAAAGGTGCAGCACGAGGCCCGCGGCCAGCTGGGGATGCCGCAGCGGGATGGCACGGCCATGGAGACCAACGGGACCGAGAAGCGTGGTGAGCATCGCGACGACGCCAGGAGACTGCCGGCTGCGGCTGGAAAAGGGAACGAGAAGGCGGGAGACGAGGAGACGGGGAACGCCGACGCAGAGACAGCCGCCGCTGACGGAGGCACGGGGACGGGCGAGGCCTCGATGATCGACCTCGGCGCGACAAAAGACGAGACGGACGCAGCTTCGGAGCCCGAGAGCCAGCAAGAGGAGACAGGCGGAACGGAGGAGGCAGAACTGTCGCTCCATGAAGATCTGTGAAGAGAGAGAGAGAGGAGGCCCTTCTGACGATTCATCACGAAAGTAAGAGTTCAAACGAACATCAGGCAATGCTCATCTCTATTGGCCACCCCAGGCCAGTGGTGGAATCGCCACACTCTGATGGCAAAGATTCAATTTATTTCCATAGTATGACCACTTTTGCCTGCTCACAAAGTGGTGTTCACTTTTATCAGGACCTAGATAGTGGTTGATGATTGATAACGGCCAATGGACGGCACTTGTGCAGCATTTGCCGTCCTTTCCCCGCACCTCTGATTCGCACGGTTGGCTACGTACGGTGCGAGACAAGTTCAACATACATACAGTACATACAAAGGCCTGTATCACAGGGTTTTTTTTGTTTAATCCAGGAGTCTCAAAACTCCTCTTTCAGAGCATCCTGAATTCATGCCGCCATAGCGGTCCGATGGCCGGCAGCAGCCTGGACTCGTGATCCAGAGGTCGCCGGCTCAATTTGACCTCCCGGCGCGAAGGTTGAAACAACGGGGGCACGCTTTTTAAAATAAATCCATCCCCTACCCACCGCCTCTGTCCACCCAGCGTGTGGCGCGTGGTGGAGTGGGCCAAAAATACCCTCCAGAGGTGTGCGTCTCTCTTGAAGGGCATCTCGCAGAGGCTCTTTCGCAAGCAAGGGGGCGTGGGCGAGCAGATTCAGGGCTGCGCCTTTGCCTTTTCCTGTACCTGAATCGTGATGCGTGGAGCTGTTCAGCGCGATAGCGGCATGCGAACTAACTTCTTGACACCAATTCTTCCTCTCCCACTTGTTGCCTTCTAGGTGTCAAACAGCCAAACGAGAGGACTCTTACGACTGAGGGTTTTTTTTTACGGTATGATGCCTGAGATTGGATAATTGGTGTTTTGGTGGGTAAGGTTAATGCGATTCAGATCACCGATTGATTGCAGGTATTTGTTCTAAATGTAACTTTTTATCGATGCCCCAGTGCAGAATGTGTATAAAGTTTTATTCGGCATGAGCCGTTGTAATTTGCGGTGTAAATTGGTGAACATATATGAGCATGGCCATTCACTTCTTAAAGCCAGTGCGGCTGTTTAGAGTTTGGGTTCAAGTTTTTAAGTTTTTCAAGTTTCATTTATTAGGTAGAGCCCTGTGAGCCATGCGGCTCTTGAGTCGGGTGCAACCGCAACATACTAAATATCAACAGAGAAACATCTTAAAGCGACGACGCGCAACAGAAACATCCTGGGATAAACCAGCACATCTTCCAGAAAAGAAAACCCGTATTACAACGCTGTGTGCAAAAATCCCAGTGTGATGCAAGTCAAACAATAACAACCACAAGACAATTTAGATTAAAGTTATCAGGCCAACTCCGCACTTCCGCAAGAAACGTGGCTTAACCAAAAACCCTTCAGCTTTGACACTGCAAGTAAAAACATTTTCAGGGGGTAGGTTTAATATTGAATGTTAACTTATAGGGCATGCATTAACTAGAGCCTTACTTTTTTAACTGCAATGTTATTGTACAAAAATGTGGTCTTACAATGACGAGAAAAACAAAGACGACAACTCACGGGGCGGACGAAAGAAATCCACGTTTATCAACAAGAATCTTCCCAAAATTCCCGCTTTTTCAAGAAACGAAAATGAAACGCTCGGCATTGAACAGTATTGTGACCCCCCCCCCCCTCCAATTTATTTACCATTAACATTTTTTTTCTATTTTGCTTATTAATTCCTGTGTTCACACCCATTGTCATCCAAAAAATATTATGCTTTGGAGAATTAAATGGGGGTCACAAGGCATCTGGACCAGCGGTGAACACGTTACCAAATGAACTGTTAAAACTATTTTTTATTCTACACAGCTCATTTTCAGAAGCGACCTGGCCACATGTGATAGTTTATCGAAGTGGCTGATCATGTGAGAATGTATAGTAGCAGCCAAATACGCCAACACCCCCCCACGGACCCGGAGGGTCACGTGACCACACCCTCACCACGTGTCACGCAAACTTACGCTGTGCAGTAAACCTGTGATTGGGTTTTTACATCGCTCATTACATGTACATTTTTTATATCTCATGTAGATTTATACAGCGCCTTAATCCGAGACGCTTTACAATTGTTAAAATTGTACGTGACATGATAGTGGCTAATATAAAGAGTGGGGATTGTTATTAAATGTGGTGTAGTCATGGTGACAGGAGAACATGTGGGAGTGGTTGAGGAGGAGTTGGGGTATGGGTGGTGTTGGGCCTTGGGGTAGTGATAGGGGTAGTGATTGGCGTTGAGGTAGTGATAGTTTTTGTTTGTTTATTTATTTTGGTATAGCCCTGTGAGCCATTCGGCTCTTGAATCGGGTGCAACCACAACAAACAAAAAAACTAAAAACACGAACAGGAAAACATCTTAAAGTGACTATGTGACTGTGCAAACAGAAAATCCATGAAAAACCAGCAAAATATTCCTGAAAAAAGCACCGTACACCAACGCTGTGTGCAAAAAATCCCAGTGGGATGCAAGTCAAACAACAACAACAACCACAAGAACTTAGATTAAGGCCATCAGTCTAACTCTGTACTACAACAAAACAAACATGTCCAAACCAAAAAACTTTTCAAAATCACCAAAAAATAAAGCCATAATTGCAACGTAACAGTGATCATAGGGACTGTGACCGAATTTTTACAATAAACTACATAAATAACATGTAACACCAAAATCCTAGAGCCATAGCTGGCTGCATGAGTTACTCCACAACAGCAGAAGCATCAGTCGGAGTATCAAATTTTTCAATGCACCTTTAAGATCAGCACGCTAAATCAAAATACAGATAATACTTGCAGCGTCATCCAGAGTGAAACATTTTATTTTACGCCAATTAATAGCAGTGGCAGCAGGGGTGTACAACTCCTCTAGAGCAGTTTTGAGAGAAGATCTCATTGGTAGCGATTCAAGTTGCAGTTTATTGGCAATAGCATTCCAGACCCTGGGGGCATCAATAGCAAAGGCCCTTCCTCCAGTTTTTGTATGGCAATAGGGAATGTGAAGCTGGTAAATGAGCGAAGACCTGAGGTCAAGTTTGTTCTTTGAAACAGAGAGGAGATCCAGCAGGCAGTCTGCGGATTTTTTTGTAAGTACATCGTGAATAAATAAGATCTGGTGCACAAGCCGTCGAACATTAAGAGATGTTAAGTTTGACCCAATGTAGATATCACAGTGGTGAGTCCTATATGGGCAGTTCAATGTAAATCTTAAGGCCGAGTGATAGATGGGGTAGTGATAGGGGCTGGGTTAGTGATAGGGGCTGGGTTAGTGATAGGGGCTGGGTTAGTGATAGGGGCTGGGCAGTGATAGGGGTTGGGGTAGTGATAGGGGTAGTGATCGGGGTTGGGGTAGTGATAGGGGTTGGGGTAGTGATAGGGGTTGGGGTAGTGATAGGGGTAGTGATAGGTGTTGGGGTAGTGATAGGGGTTGGGGTAGTGATAGGGGTAGTGATCGGGGTTGGGGTAGTGATATGGATAGTGATTGGGGTTGGGATAGTGATCGGAGTAGTGAAAGGGATAGAAGTAGTGATAGGCGTTGGGGTAGTGATAGGGGTTGGGGTAGGCCTGGTCATAGATGGGGGGGTGGGGGTGGGGCAGGTAGTATCAGGATGAGGTAGGGGACAAGAGAGGAGTTGTTTTGATTATTTTATGTGCAGTGGGAATTTGTTCATTTCCTATGGGTGAAAAAATCCCCCAATACACTGCCTGACGCCCCAACCAATCGCCTTGCGGACTGTACGCGGCCATGCCTCGTTAAAAAACTCCCCAGCTGGTGCAGAGTCTTATTGGCTTGGCATGGCCGATGCCCATCATGCGCCGTCGAGACGTTAGCTGTCGCGTTAACCAGCTTGGCAGTTCCACTCCGACGACGTGAGTGGACGACTGTGAATAATGGAAGGGCCCACGGTGACGCCCCTAAAAAATGACTTTAAGTTTGTTTTTGTCATTAACGAAGCTTCTCTGTCGGTCCTGATGTTGGATATAGCCCGGAACATCTGGAACGTAAGAGCTGCTTGAGGTTTTTTTTTGTATGCTGTCTTTTTAAAAATGTCACGAATGTTAAACACTCTTTTAAAATGTCTTCACCTGTTTTACGAATTGGTGTTGCGATTGCATTAATCTTAAATAAATACAAATTAATCTTTTATGATTTTTGTTTTAAAGTTTGGATTTCTAACCGCTATAATGCATTCTGTCACATGGGTGCATTCATCATCAGCCTTGGTCAATCCACTGCTGGATGAAGGCCCTCCCCAAGCCACTGCCACATCTCACGAACATGCGATGTAACAATCCACCCAGCACCTGCACACGAATTAATTTCATCGCTCCATCTCCGCAGCGGACGTGCTCTCTCGCGGACACGTTCCATTCCCTTGGCTGCCATTCTGTTACTATCCTTGACCACTTTGGCTGTCGTACACATCGTCCCTTCTAGCCATGAGGTGTCCTGTCCAAGGCTGCTTGTTTTTCTGAACGGTCACCCATATAGCTGTTAGCAAGCAACTATTACGGTTGGCACAGAGTAAGAGGGTAGTTTAGATGGGACCACCCCTGGCCGACTTTTGGAACCAAGGCCGTAATTATAATAAATATGTTCAAAATGTCCCCCCCCCCCCAATATATTGCTATAAAATAAATTTCTGTTTATATGATTGTGGTTATGGTTGTACTTTATTAATCCCTAATCTCTGCCATTATATATAATGAAACAAGAAAAGGTAAAAAAACAGCAATGTAATACAATACACTATTAGACATTATTGTAAAAAATAAATTAAAAGTCCATCCTATGTGTTAGTGAAATTTGTTTTATATTTTAGGCAAGAAATTCGTTTTCAAATTTAGATTTTTTTTCTGGGGGGGGGGGACCCCCAGACCCCCTGGAAAATTTGGTCCCCCCCAATGTTGACTCCATGGCTATGGCCTTGCTCAGAACTGATTCATACACGCTGCACCAGGTGCTAATTAAAGGCTGAGTTGATCTAGAGGAGGTCCAGGACTGGTTCACCATCGTTCCACTTTTGTTAGACGTCACCGTGAATAGAACTCAGCTTGGCAGGTTTAGAGCACAGTTGCGATAACCTCTGCACCACCGCTCAACCTAACCGGAATATGCACAAATACATATACAGTATGTATATGGTGACCTGTGCTTGGTGGAGTGGTGGTGCAATGGTTAGCACTCGGAGTGCTCTGCCCCCCCCGCCCCGGGTCACTGGTCCGGAAGACGGAGCAGAGTTTGCTTTGTTGTGCCTGAGCACGAGTGTCGTGAGTGTGGTGAGCGCGAGTTCAGACACCATGAATGTTGCGAATGCTGTGAGAGTTGCTGCCATGAGTACTGTGAGCGTGAATACACGTGTGAGGCGGTGCCAATGCCCGCGTCCTGCGAGAGTGACGTACACAGCGATGGAATGAGAGCATGATGTGAAAGTGGGTGACTACTGCGTGTCGTGCCGGCCTTCGGAGATGCTCGCTTTAACAGCACTTGCCCCAAAAAAGCTTGTTGGGGGCTTTCCGGGGGATCTTTGCCTCTGCGTGATCGAGTGTTGCGAGTGTGTACGTGAGCGTGCGGGTGACGGTGTGAGACAGGGTGCCGATGCTCTGCCTCCTGCTCTGCGTGCGTGCGAGTGCGGCTCACGGATTAGGTTCGATTCCTCGTCGGCGCACGCCGCGCGTTGAAGCGTTTCACTCCTGGGGGGGGGGGGCTCTCAATGAATGGCACAGCGGGGGGCGGGAGGTGAATGATGATGGGTGTGTGTGTGGGGGGGTATGACAGCAGCGCTCTTGTGCAATCACCGCGCTCATATCTATCTCGGTTGGGAGCGAGAGGCTTCCCGGGGAGCCACGGATCTCAGCCGCCCCTGCTGAGGTGTTGCTAGCTCACGCAACACAACGAGAGAGAGAGAGGAGAGACACAGGCGCTCTCCCCCATAGAACACGCGATCGTACTCACGACGTAAAGATGCACCGCGTGCTGTCGGGGGCAAGTGCTGTGAGTGAACATCTATTAAAGGCCGGTTACGGCACTGCGTGTCTTCGCCCAGTGACGATGTTTACACACACACATACACACACCACGCCTAGGTAGTCATTTAAGGCTAAGTCGACCCGGGGAAGACCCAGGACCGGTTCAAATATTCGCCACTTATCGGCGGTGAGCGGGAATGGAACTCGGGGTCGCCAAGGGGGTCGTAGTGCAGTTTCGGAGCGCGCTAACCACTGCACGACCGCTCCCCATCCAACCACACGCACATGTACACAAAGATCCACCGCATATCCTCACCAGATTGTTGGGGCCAGCGCTGTTAGTGAGGACCTGTGAAGGCCGGCACGGCGCACAAAGTGGGGTGGCCAGCACCACGCCCGGCCGCCTTTGTCTCCCCAGTGGCGATGTTTACTGCACACCGCACCAGGTACTCATTTGAGGCTGAGTTGACATAGGGGAGGCCCCAGGACCGGTTCAGATATTCGTCACCGCTGTTGGCCGTGAGCAGGAATCGAACCCGTGTCGTCAGGTTCGTAGCTCAGCGTAGCGCTAGGCGCTACACCACCGCTCCCCACACAAACAACAACAACAAACACGATCGTTCGTCAGTCACAACTGCGCGGACGACGTTTCGGTCAATGATCCTTATTAAACGAGGCGGCCACACTTGTGCAGGGCTCGTGTAAACAAAAGAAACAACAACAACACACACGTGTTCGTC